GTGTCCCAGCAGACCGGAATTCAGAATCTTTCCACGTGCCTATCATATACCTGCTGTAGCTAAGAGGCACATGTTCCCTGAACAAAGTTAAAGGGAAGAAAATGCAGATTGATCTATCTCTGGATATAAAGTGAAAATTCTCTGAAATGTTTTATTTTTTCACAGAGCTTTACAAACAAAGGCACTGCATAACCTCCAAGGCATGTATGTTAGCAATGTTACTGTATGTTTCAGCAGGGAGGGACATGTATCTTCTGTGTATCCCTTCGAGCAAGACCAAATGTGTCTTTATATGGAAGTGAGCATGAGCCACTGCGGCAGGAATCTCTTGGCTCACCTCATTTCGCTCATCCCCTTCCCCCTGGCAGTGACCACATGAGGGACCACAGTTGTCACACAGCAGCATACAGTCAGAATATCAGTATTCTGTAAGAGAGCTAAAAGCCACAGAATAGCTGTTTAAATGAGAATACAAGAGTACAGTAACATGATTAGAGTCATAAGCATTTGTTGTCATTTCAGATTAAGATTAGAATGACACGGTTATAAACCGTGTCTCACAGTGCAGTGAACAGAAGCACCGCTGTAATATCGCAAAGGGGTCATTAGTGAGCCCAATTCATTACAACATACAGTATTTGATTCAGTCTCATTTCTTCTCATCTTCGGCTTTATTTTATTAAAGAAGTGCATAATACCAGTCTCTCCTGGAGCACTGAACCACCTTGAGCCAGCAAGGGAAATTCATTAGTTACTTGTTATTATCTTCCTCACCACTAGATTAACTATATTGTCACTCACAGGGGATTACGTGCACGCAAATCACATTCCTCTCTGTCTTTTTATATTTCTGTTTTTATCTACGCCCCCGTCTTGCTTCAATTGCAACCCCTGCCTCTGATGGCTTAGAGGAACTAAATCCTGCTGATGTGTCTCCCTTGATCTGAAAATTATTAGAGACGGATGTTTCTTTCTTCCTTTTTTGCCTCCAGTGCATAATTCTTTCATAAAAAATATCCTATTTAGAGGCAATGCGTTATTTTAAGCAGATATATATGTTAGTATATAATGTGGTACAATAAATTCTACACCTATTTGATTAAACTAAGATTGTCCTGCATATAATTAATTTATATATTTGCATGATGTTTGCTTCTGTGGTCATCCGAAGACACAGTCAACTGAGAATGTCTTTCTAGTAAGAATCATGAAGTGAGACTCATATTTTTGTTCAGTCTTTTTGCCACCTTTACTTAGATTTGAACACTCAGTGTTCAAACTGAATCATCTCATGCTTTTACAGGAATCATTATATTAGTTTTGTTCCCATAATATATGCATCTGTCTCCCACTTAGAACCAATTTCCCAGCCAGCACTGATATGAGAACATCCGATGGCTCAAAAATGAAAAGTCTTCAACTCAGATTAGATTTCCAGCAAGACAGATCAACATTCCTGCAGACCGAATGCTGAAAAAGCTACTTGGACGACGCACCACAAGGTTCATTGCATGCTTAGGAAAGACGGAGAATGTGTGGCAGGCAGAAGCAAAGACACATTCATGTACAAAGATGACCGGTTGAATATTTATGTTGTTTATTTTTGGTATACGCATTGTTTGGTTGCATTCAGGAAATGTTTATTGGATCTTCTTTTTTTTTTTTTTTACTTCTCATTTCCTGTCATGCTGCAAGAGAACAAGATCTCTTTCACAGTGTTCCGAAAACAAATTCTGTGCATGTGAGAGAGATTCTCAACTAGTGGTTAAGTCAATACCAGAAGGGTGTTTGATGTGGAACCAAGCCCAGATGTCTTAGAGATAGAAAACACTTCATGTATGGCCACAAGTCTAATTCTTACTTGTACAGGTAGCATGTGATCAGAAAGTAGGCACTGACGGTCAGACAACTATATGCTATGTTCCATAAACAAATGTGCTCTCGTGTTACGGGTAGCGGAGGATCATTTGGACTCCGTGCTTTAGGAATGCAAACCTCCCAGGAAATACAATCTGCTCTCAAACTTTTCAGCTCCAATTTGACTGCCAAGAAGGGGGACAGGTCAGCATTCCAGGACGGGACAGTCACCCACCCACATGCATCGACACATCAACAAAGAAAAAGTAAAAGCCAAAGACCCCAAACATGTTTATTTCAGTATGGGGACAGCTATTAGATTTTAGACATTAATGGTTAAGTTTTTAACTTGCCACACACATTGCCTCATGTTCTCCTTGTAGGAGGGTAATTAATGATCTTTAGATATAAACAAAAAATTGACTGCAACAACAGAAAAAATGAAAATATTAAACATGGCATTTTTTATTACATGCATATTCTTTTTGTCCATATGTTCTATGAGACCTCGTGGCTGGTCAGGCCATTACTTACTGCACAGGTGATGATTTGATTAGCCTGACAATCTGCAACCACGATAACCAAGCAACGTTGTTAGTGTTTAATGCTACCTCAGCACTACAAGTTTAACAACATGGGAGGACAGGAGACCAAAGAAAAAGCAGTCATGGCTGGTTTTCTTTCTCTTTTTATTGCAGGATCAGTATCACCGTCTTCAACATTTCACAGCACAAGCTTTAAATGGGAAATGTCAGTTTTGGACTGGAACAGAAACCACAACTGTTTTTCTGACATAAATATTTCATGAAATATGAAATGTGAAAAAGGCAGTAAGCATGTGATGTGTGTGTGTGTGTCTGTGCACAGGGCTACAGGTCATTATGATAATTTAAGGCTGCGGCAAAGTTATTATTTTTCTGCTGAAGTGCAGATTCAGACTCACTGAGAGACCAGGATGAGATGTAATATGAAGGAATGAGTTCCCTGAGATGGAAAGGAATGCTTATGTTCAAGCCATGATGGAGACTTGCTTGGAACAACGGAGCCATTTTTCTTCATCATGCATACATCCAGTTGAATATCATCTCCTAACTGAGACCCAAGAGATTTCTGAGTCCCTGTCAATGTGTGATATGTATATTTCTGTCAATCTTGTCAACATATAAAAACACACAAATAAATGTTGCCAACACACCTGATTTTTGTTACATGAAATCCCTTATTATCACAAAAACAGCTATTTTTCTTTTTTGGATTTAGGTAATAATCAGGATGTAGATTCAAGTGGAAGTGGATTACCATAGTATCACACGCAGCTATGACTCTACTTATTTTCCTTTCTTTCTGATAATACATTTAAAAGCAACACTGTTGATTGCTGGTTTTGCTGTACAAAATGCATCCCAGACAATCCAGTTTAGAAAAACAGATATACATTCAACATATTTAGATCAACTGAAGATTATACTGTGAGAAACGATAAATCCACTGTTGCACATGTATTTCTTTTTAACAGTTAATCATCGTCTAAAGCTTTTGAATATAAGTGTATAGCTGAAATTGAGTAAGTCCTCTTCATCTACGCTTGCCAAACCTTAACCAAGCTCATACTCTTTTAACCACTGCATTGAACCATGATATTTTACTCAACCTAGCCAAATGTTTTTTTGCACTCAAAACCTAATAATCTTGTGGTAGATCTAAACATTCTCATGAAAATGTAACGTTGTTTGTGATGCATTTATGTCATTTACCAGAGGTGTTGTTCTAAAAGAGGTCAAGAACTTAAATGGTTTATTCTGAAATTAAATATCAACATATCCTGAGCATTTTCTTTGTCCCACTTCAGTAAAAGCCACCTCATCTCCCCAGTGGACATTACCTTCTACTGAAGTCACCTTGTAATGACTACACACATTATGCACACAGTGTGGTGTGACTCAATGATGAGTTATATAAGATGAAAGATGTTTCCTCTAGCTTGGCTTTGTGATGTGTTGAGTGTGTACTGTATGCATATGTATGCGCGACTGCATTAAAAAACATGTGTATGTGGATAGAAATACAGACCCCAAAGGAATGTGTGCCAGTTAGCAATTAGATTTGCACTTTTGCAAGCAATATGAGGCAAGCAGCAGAATATTGGCAAATGATATTAGTTTGGCGTAATGCTCATTTTGTTAGAGCTTTGCTGTATTGCCTTGACCAGCATGGATATATAAGCAAAGTGTGCATCTTACGATATAGTCACCGTTAACAGAGCTTAATTGTGGTGTATGAATAAGCGGTTCAGATAACGGATGGATGGATAGGATTCTCATCCAGCATGCACTATCCTTTCATGTGCAAAATGTATGATGGTCCTACTTCAAGTTTCAAACCCTAACGAGAATTTCCCCAAACATGGGTTTTCCATAATCATCTGTTTTTACGTTTTAGGTCATTAGACATATCTAAAGCACATTCAACAACATAACTCAAGGGTGGAATGGAAATGAAAACTTTCTTTGATCCTGACAAAACATAACCCTTAGTTTCTGCGACTTTGTCTGTGAGTGTTTGTTTTTCTTTGAAATCTTTAAGAATGGACTGCATTTATTGTTTGTGCAAATTCAATATCATACACTTCGGAACTTATTGAGTAAAAACTGCAAAAGCATATGTCAATGCAATAATGATAGAATTATAAGGTCTGATATCGGATCACTCTCAAAATCTGTTTCCTTAAGACCTTTAATCACTACAGGGCAAGCTGTTCTAAGACAAATCAACTAGAACTATTTAGATACAGTGTGCATGCACTAACAATCAAAATTTGCATAAAAGTGTGTTGCTGATGAAGGACTGTGTTTCCAGACCTGGGTGATTATTATTCTTCTGACTGTTATTATCATTAGTGAATGTCTGTGTAACAGTAGCCTCAAGGTCTGAAAGAGGCAGAATTGTGAATCTCTTTGGTAATCTTGCCATTTTCCATTGAATTGTTGTGCTTGCCACTGCATGGATTAATGAATAATTCACAGATTACAGAAAGATAGGCAAACACACAAAAGTCTCTGAATCTTGGAAAGAAATCTCCCATTCGACCTAAAAAGTTGGAGAGGGGTGACCGGGAGGGTATGATTACGCATTAATCTAAATGCATGTGGAAGCAGCCGCCGGCAACCGCATCCCGCGGTCCCGTTCTCGTGCACCAGCACGTGCACATGCGCGCCAGCTCGTGCGCCCGGTCCTCCTCCATGCCAGACTCTGTAATCGCGTTGTCCCACACCACCCGAGCAAACGGTGATCGTTTTCAGCACGGGTAAGATCCTGCACCCCTTCACTGCAGTATGGCGACGGAGGTAAGACGTCTACCGCCTTCTTTTTAGTATTCCAGGAGTCATCCAAATGCTCTCCTTCGCAGCCCTCAGGAAAATGCAGGTTGGGAATACAGTCTCACATGCTGCATGTGCTGCTTGTTTGTGGCTTGTCGATCTTTGGGGCACACGTTATCTTAATTCAATTAGATGAACTGACTCATTCTGGTGGATCCAGATGCAGCTGAAGTTGCAGAATCAACTGAGGATTTTCTTGATTTAGTAGAATTGGTCACTGGGGAGCTTCTTCCCACTTTGGTTTTAGTTTGATCCTCAGCTGCAGCACGGACTGCATCTTGAAATAAATGACAATTTCTTTCCCATTCACCACAAACACTCAGGCTCAGAGTTTGAAGGCACTGATGATGATGAAGATCATGATGATGGTGATGGAGCAGTCAGCACCATGGAGAGGGGCAGTCTTTTGCTGTCATACTTTTAAATAAGGTGGACAATGCTCTAAGCTTACATATATACTGATCAGTCAGACGCATATGTAGGCTTGTGAGAATGTAATGTCATATCACCGTCATGCTTTTAATTGATGTAGCTTAACAAAATTGGCAGTATTTGTGTGGTTCATGCAATGTCACATAGATCAACTAGTTGCCTCCAACAGGAGCAACAGCGGTTGCTGATGTATTTTTAGCTTTAGTAATGCCTGGTAGCTCCCAGACCGACAGCACTTATTCCTCCCTTTTCTGTGTCCTTGGCAATGTCACCATTATGTGAAAGACATTACTGCTTTACTTATCATTGGGATGACCTCACCAGATAAGGACAGTCTTGGTTTGAGGGGTTGAGGCAGCACACTCATGCAGGACCTAATGTGCCTGCATGCATTTGTACAAAGATAGCGTGTTAATACATAAGCGTTCCACATCAGCAGGCATCCAGTTTATCAGGGAGTGAATCTGTTCCTTAAACATGAGAAAACTTCAGCGAAAACCAAATATAAAGGTAGCTGGTCAATTTTAAACACAATCTTTTTCTACATTTTACATGAAAAATGATTTATTCTTCAGATTACTCGATAAAAAGTTGAATTTGTTGTTTAATGTTCAATCTCAGTGAGGGTAGAAACTTTTTTTCTCTAATGCCATATCAGATTGGCATTAGTTACCCTTAAATGTTTCGTCCCATATAATCGATTTACCTCTTCAGATATGCTCTGTTTTTTTATTTTAACATGGGACATTTACGTTTCCTGGAAAAATAACACCGGTATTTTCTACACGTGGTGTTTTATATTTTTTCTCTCCAAATTAGTTTTTTTTAACTAGTCTGGGCTACCACAAAATGAAATCACCCATCTCAAGGGGTTCATCTAGAGATATATAAGTAATGATACATTTCCAACAGCAGATTGGCCCTCATATCCTCTAGAGATCTGCCAGTATCCCAGTCCAAGCTTTTCCATTACTCACACACTCGTGCATGCATGCCCACAAACACAGCATGCACATGCGCATGTGGTGTGAGGGCCCAGGACGGATTTTCTGTGCAAGGTCCATCAATTATCTATGACATATTCAATGTGATCAGGCTGCTGCAGTTTGTACCATCAGCGCTTGGGTCTGATATAAGAACTGCTTCCTACTCGTGCTTTTACTCATTTTATGGCATTTATTGTTGGCCACATTAGCAAGCAAAGGAATGAATTTTATGACAAGCAATCGGCTCTCTCTGCAGACAGGATGCACGGCATCTGGATTTAGTAAGTGCCACAGCTAGATCTTCCTCTTAACAGGCTGTCTCGTGTTTGGGATATTGTTGTTGGGGAGAATGTGCCAAAGAGAGATTGGCAGACCCTGAGCTCCCCACAGAAATGGTGTTCCACCTTTTCCATAAAAAGACCACCCCCAGCTCCATAATGCTGATATTCCACCTATTTTGTGAAGACCGCTGACTTACAGGCATTTGCATTTGACTGCAGTTGGAAGAAAAAGGCTGCAAGAGACGTGAGAGTGGGACTTAAAATATCTAACTTTGAGTGCATTCACTGTGAATGCTGTTAACATTTGTGCGTTTGCGATTTATGCCCATTATCTGCACTCCCCCACGTTCTCACAATGCCTTCTTTGAGTTGGTGGATTTAACTTGGAAACATGTCGTTTCAGTGAGACTAACGCAGACTTCAGCAGTAAGAAATAAAGAGGTGGATGCATCAGCGTATGTAAATGAAAAGAACCAACAAAGAACAAGTAATGCATTTTTATGTAGTTGACTTTTAATTTATTCTCCTAGCTTGTTATTATTTTGTATTTAGCAAGATTTTTCCTCGAAAACATTAAACGCTGAATCACTTGTCATATAAGCCAGAAGTAAACGATACATGGATTCACAATTCCCCAACATTTTGAAATAGCTTAATTTATTTATTGTCTTTGTCTTGTCTTTTTTTATCTTTTTGCTGAGCAACTTGAGCCATTTACTTGGCAATAAGTCTTCCTTTTCTAACATACTTTCACTTTAGTCGACTATTTTTAGTCAGTGTCAAAACAAATGTTTCCTAAAAGGAATAGATGTGGGGGTGGAAGCAAATTCAGACTGTGTGGCGCAATGTAAAGCTTTTTAATGGAGTTCTGTTTGATCAGTATGACTTATCACTGTTTCACATTTACTATATTTAGACAGAGGAATAAACTACATTTTAACTCTGATCCCAAACAGGAGTAATAGTCTGTCTTCCGAGAAGAAACATTTAGATTCAAAGCTTGCACGGACAAGGACTAGTTATAGAAACACCACAAAACTTGTTTTTTATGAGCAGCAAATGCTGCCACATGCACCTGCACAAACTCTCACATTTGCCTGTGTAATCTTAATTAGGCTGACTCCCCGCTACTGTATTCTCACTTAAAAAACAACGCTCAACAATGTGCTGTTGATCCGTCTATTAATAAAACAACTTGATCACCATAATGGCAACAAAGACAGAAGCTGTGTTGGGAAGGCAAAAAAAGAGTAAAGACAGGGATATTAAAAGCTCTGGCTGTGAGCTGATTGTGGCTGGTAGTGGATGAAAATAGGGGCTTGGGTGCTATTCTTGGTTGTGAAAGATGTACTCTATATAGAGATGAAAGGCTGGCTCTGTGCTGTGTCTGCTTACATGGACTCTCTGGCTCTGCCTTTCGACCATAACAACACTGCTGTCAATGGCCAGACTCTCGAAATTAAACCCACTGAATAAAAAATATATAGTTTTGTAGTTTCATTGTTGTGGAAAATGATATTTATATCAAATAATTTCAGTCTCTTAACTAAGCACAACATTGTATTTCTCATTTAAATGTTTCCACCCTCCCCTTTTAACTCCTCTCTCTAAGCTCTTACTGTATCTCTAATTACCATCCTCTTGAGGGAAGTAATTTAGATCAGCAGGGGACAGGTTTACTCTGGCTGCCTGAGTGTGAAACACACCACTCACCACCAAAGTGCTTTAAAGAGCACTCTTTCAGAGTGTTATTACTGAAACTAGGTCTATTGATACTGATGGGTGAGTGCTAACTAAGTTTGCTCTGATGTTGACACAGCAAGACTTCAAACTTACTGCTAACGTGATAGCCCCGATGTTTCAGAATTTTTTAAGGAAAAGCTTCCGTCAGTAGAAGTAGATTTAGAATTTGCCTTTTTTCTAAGATCCTCTGCATTCTGGTAAACTTTGAGATGTAATGTTAGCAGACAGAGACAGGGTTAGATTTCATTAGTGAAGTCTGTGTCAGAGGCAGTTAGTTGGATGGATTCATAGTAAGATTTGTTAAAATGAGCAAAGAGAGACATCCTGTTCTTGTATCTGCCTAACATGTGTTTCTTCTGTTGTTTATCTCTTTAGTTCCATAATCTCCAGGAGATGCGGCAGAGTGCGTCACTGGTAACAAAGGTGTTTATACAAAGAGACTACAGCGAAGGAACCGTGTGTCGATTTCAGATCAAATTCCCTTCAGAGCTCGAAAACAGGGTGAGTGGAAACTTGCTTGTCTATTTAAATTACCTTGAAAAATCTCTCCTTTGCTAAAACACATGCAGATTCCACAAGGGAATAACATAAATGTAAAACAGAATAATTGATCTTTTTGTTTTGTTTTTTTGCTATGGTGAGATATCCCAAATAACACAACGCAGCTCATCACAGGCTTCTATTAGACACTAGAACTTGTGGAATAAATGTTCCCACCAAACCATCGAATCCTTTATAAGTGATTTTGTTAAGTGCAGGATTGGTTGATATGGGTCCTCCTTACTGATATTAATAAGAAAAACCTTTATGTTAATTTCAATTTAAGGAATTACTGAAGTCATATGTACACACATATTCATCTCTCTTTACTTATTATGTTGTTGGTCATAACATAACCCAAGCTATTTTTATGCTATTACCTACAAATGGCATGATATATATATAGAGTATATAAATATGTATATATACAGTCTCAGTATGACATATTCTCCACACAGAGAAATGAGAAAAAGTAGTGTAGGGAGAAGAGGAGGGAGTCAAAGTTTTGGGAAAGCTGGAAATCTGCTTCAGTCTTTTTCCAATTGCTGTCAGCTCCTGTCATTTATACATTTGTCAACGTTGCCCCACGGTTTTCTGCATTGTAAAAATGTGTAATTTCCTTGACAAAAACTAGATTAGCAGAGTGCAGTGGACGTGTTTGGCAGGTTTTTTTACATTAATGCCAGCGCTTAGTTCACTAGTGCAGCCCTCATGCTCTGTGGATGCTTTCCATCCCAACCAGATGCCTTTTTGTGTTTTTACCAAGATTGAGAGAGCTTTACTTGAGCAGACGTTGAGGACCATCAACTCTTTCTATGTCGAAGCTGAAAAAATTGGGGGCCAGTCATACTTGGAAGGATGTCTTGCTTGTGCGACAGCTTACATCATCTTCCTCTGCATGGAGACACGCTACGAGAAGGTAACAAATATGTTGACCACTCTACACTAAATAATGTTCCTCTTTCTGTTGTTTTGACAAATGTCAAGCATTTTAACTTTGAAGAAAAGTCCACTCTGCTAATAGCAAAAGGCATTTTCCTCAGCAAACATGCATAAACTACTCAGGAGGAACATGAGCAGAGAAAACCTTAGGATTTCAAGCTGTCAACAGTCTAATGCATTGCCCTGATCAATGCAGAGCTTCTAAATATCTAATTGCAAGTAAGCCACCATGCTTTTCATGATAGCTACATTAATTAACACTGGATCATGGCTACATGACAGTTTGAGATTTGCGTGTTTTTAAATGAATCACTTTTTGCATAAAGTTAAACTCCACAGCTCATCCAAAGGGCCAACTCTCTTCCTGTTTTCATCAAAGCTGCATACAAAAAAAAAAGCATCTAGGTGTGTGTTCTCATGCACAGTTCTTTAGACTCATTGACAGAAGGAAGCATAGCCAAGAAGCAGAAGATACGATCTGATTCCTTCTAACTCTGCTTCCCGTCCACTGCATTTCTGTGTGCCAGGGTGAAAGGCATGGCACGCCAGCCCTAACGTTAAACTTAGCAAAAGCAAGATGTCCATCTGGAGAAAAAGCAGGTGGTTAAACCGCTGTACCATTATGTTGCTGCTTGTTAGTCGCTGGAATGGAACAAGAACACACGCATGCATAACACAATCTCACAGAGACGCAGACACAGTGAGCCTGATTAGTCCTCTTGTGATTTTCTTTGAACCTGACGGTGTTTTAGATGCAACTGGAGTGGCGTGAAGTCCCAGCATGCCTCAGTGCTCTGATATCTGTCGTCCAGAACATGCATCTGCTTCGTTTTGTCACTTTTTGTAAACATCTTTTTCTAAAAGCAGCATAGAGGCACAGTGAGCTTGACCAAGAAACAAGAAAAGGAGGTATTGCCGTGTTGAAGTCATGCAGAGATAGCCTGGTCCGAGGCACCTTTCATCTCCTGTCAGCTGGTGCCGCCTCATTGAGATGCTCAGATGTTATCAAGTCCACGGGAGAGTTGTTTATTTACTCGTTCAGCTTTATGAATGATGCTATGACTGACCGTGATAAAACATACCCACCCAGGTTGAAGTTACGGGCGCTAAACTACAGTGGATCTGAGATCAGTGAGCAGATTCTTACAGAGCCCGAATCTGCTTGATGTGCACATCTGGCCGAATCAAAGGCACTGATCGCTCGCAACTTGTCAGAACACATACATGTAAGCATAAGCATTTAGCAAACCTCCACCATGCATAGTTTGTGTCTTTCATCTCCTAGTTTTCTTCCTGTGTATTTTGACAAGACTGTGGTTGTGTTCTATTTGACTTTTGCTTTGACACATGTTTACATGCTCAGATTTCTTCACGCAGCTCTTTACATTGACAGAAAAACCAGTGGATTGTGTAAGTATTGCTTTTATAAGAGGGGCTGCCACAGATATGGCTGACAAAAAAGCTTGGATACTTGACTGTCACATTAAAGAGCACTAAGCTGCCCTGAGAGATCATAAGCAAGTGGAAGGCTTGGCCTTTTCCTTAAACCACTGCAAACTGATTTGTCGGGCTTTCTCTTTCACTTCTCTGTAATGTTTGACTCTCAGTTTCTTGTAAGAGACACTGCTTCTTTCTGTGGTTAAAGAAATATGCGGTTATACTGTCATTATTCCAATTTAGACATTGATAGGTTTATGCGCTGTTTTTTATTTGAACAAAGAATTACCAAATAGCAGCGAAGCAAAAAAGTGGCTTTTGATCACAGTCAGTTCAGTGCATGTCAATGAAAAATTGAATAGCTAAACACTTTTGGGATTTTCATTTAAGTAGTTTAATGTTATTCTTTTAGTGGGGGAGAGAAATTCTTCTTCTTCTGTTATTTACCCTCCAGCAGAAAGGGGCCACCTCATTAGCAGCTGTTCCTGCAGCCTGTAAGGCCCTTGGTATCACAGTGTGTTGTTGGGTCTCTGTTATTTTAACCTCTTTAGGACGGCTGCTGTGTTGATTTCCAGACAAAATACTAAAGATAATGTGAATTTGGCATGTTCTACAAAGGATTAAAGGAATACACATGAACTTGTCCAATTCAAATACAACGAACACAATAACTATAGCTTAGCTACCAGTTTTCTGTATCTAGTGTTAAATATAATGACTCGATTATAGAAACTCTTCAAGAAAAACTTTGTTGAGACAGTTAGGTCAGCAAAGCAATGCTTTGACTGAGGAGTCTTTATTTTGAATCTACAAACCTCACAAACTTCCCCAGAAATGTGATCCGACAGCCATATGTTGTATGAAAAAGTTAGAAGGAACAGATCCTAACTACATGCTGCCTGGGGCTCTTTTACTGGCTTCCATGATAGTACAAGCTATGTGAAAAGGAAAGAAGGAGCATGCTCGAGGACCCAGTCGAGGAACCTGGCGCTCAGTAGCGATGAGTTCATTTGGCTGGGAGCTGACTAGTTGAAGGTTCAATGCGTGGGCTAGGAGCACGCTGAACTGCCTTGTATTATTTAGTTTCCTGCCCCGGAGAGCTGTTGTCTGATTAAAACATGCACAACTAAACTCTTCCAGTGTTGGAACATTTTTTAATCGTTTGCTTACATATAGATTAGGGCGGTACAGTGGTGGGAGCAACGTGGCCTCACAGCAAGAGGGATCCAGGTCCGAGTCCCGGGGGGGGGGAGCATGTTCTCCCCTGTTTCTGCGTGGGTTCTCTCAGGGTATTCCGGCTTCCTCCCACTGTCCAAAAACATGGCCAATTCAAATGTCCCTGTTTGGCCCTGCGATGGACTGGCTTCCTGTCCAGGGTGTACCCCAGCCTCTCGCCCGTTTTCAGCTAGGATAGGCCACAGCCCCCCTGCGACCCCTTTGGGAATAAGCGGTATAGAAAATAAATAGATGATTTAATCTTTTACAGGCTGCACTCTATTTTTAGCTTCTGTGTGATTATGTGCTTAATCAGGGACAGGTATTTGTTATTTTCTAGGCATCATGGCAACTATCTCAGTTTACACGAGGCTCAGTCAGGTGCGGTGTATCTGATTGATATGATTAAACAGAGTTTAGGAGATGCATGGCATGTCAGCATTGTTGGTCCCCAAAAGGGCATTCCTGAGTTTGAATAAACTGCTTTAATGATGCCATTCTTGTTTGTAGCTGTCTGTTTAGCATGATAGGCCATCAGTCCACAGCAGCTTGTGAGTAGCAACCGAGGCTTAGGATTCGTATCCACTGTTCTAGTCTCTGGGTTAAATTATGTGTGAAGCCATAATGCTTTGGAGAATGTATATAGACAGGATTGTTTGAGTTTGTATGTCAAGGCATGGTCTGAACTGCCCAGATTCACTCCACTGCAGTCCTGTGGTTCTTGCAAAGTTGATGCTATACTCACTTGCAAAACCAGTAAATGATTCCACTGTCAGTGAAATGTAAATAAATTGTCCACTTCACATTTGAGTATTTCCAATTTGCCCTGACAGTTAACCAAGGCATGGCATTTAGCTTTAAATAGCTGCCTTTTGAATTAGGGGCTAAAGCTTCCAAATGGAAAAGCCCACGCTCTTCGGTTTAGCTCTTTAATTCATACAGCCTTGCCTGACTTGAGTGGTTAGGAGGTTTGTAAACAACCTCCCTGCTGTACTTAGCATATGATGGAATTACTTGGACCTTGGAATTTTGGAGTAAGTTTAAGCTTTGTGTCAAATCCAATGTTTTTATATGATATTACTGAAAACATATCTTATTACATATAATAAAATACATTTTAAAAAGTAATAAGCCACTAAAGGAATCCCCCATCTGGATGTGATTTTTTCCCCAAGTACAGTATGTTCTGCTTGTTTTTTTCCCAATTAAAACAAGGTTGAATTTAAACATTTTATCAAGGATTTTGTCTTTTTTTCCAGGTGCTAAAGAAGATATCAGCGTACATTCAGGAGCAGAATGAGAAGATTTATGCTCCTAGGGGTCTGCTTCTTACAGACCCCGTAGAAAGAGGAATGAGGGTTGTATCCTTTGTTCACCTGCTATTAAAGAGTGAAACAATCAGGCATTGGATGAGGGCTAAAGTCTGGATATGCTACATCCAAATGGATTCAGTCAGTCAAAAATAATCTAGTTTCCCACTAAACAATGTATTCAACTTTTGTTGATTCATAGGAGGTGTTCATCATCCACCTCCTGTTCACAGGTGTACATTTACAACAGGGCTTGTCTGAGAAAGCCTTCATTCTTTGTCCTTAGCATTAAAAGGTGTTTGCACTTGTGATGTTGATTTAACTTCCTCAAGGCCCCCTGAGCTCTAATGTTACTCCAAGAAAAGTGTTTTGTATTTTTTCTTTGTGTAGCTAATAGAACATACTGATACTGCCGCTCTTTTAGAAGTGATCAACAATATGTCTCTGTCTCTGTGATCCTAGTGCGGGCAGAAGAAAAGAGAAAATATGTCCAACAGACCATCACACCGGCCCAACCCAGACTGTCTCACAAAGCAAGTTTCAAGTCAAAGGGCTAATGTAGTACAATAGCAGTCAATGCACTTACATTTGCCATGATCTCTTTTTGTAAAGGCTAATAGCAGAATTCTCCCAAATAAAATCTGTTATGGTTGAATATAAAAGTGAACATAATGCTCTTATTACTGAGGACCATTTTAAGTTAAATTAAACCAGCTGTATTGCCCTTCGTAGAGATGTAAGGTCCCAGCTGACATGTGACCTGTTCCGGACCATTTCATAAGATCTGAGTGAGTGCTTCCCTTACTCACCACCCAAATGTTGTTCATATGTCAACAGTCCTTGACATTTGGTCTTCAGCTGGAGATCAGCGTGTTTGAAGACCGAGGCTCAGTCAGCTCCAGTCCCAGCACCAGCGTGTCATCAGGCAGCAGTGCTCGATGACTGGAGGGCCAGCGCCAGGCTTACGGGTACCACCACAGGGGGAGCGGGACACTCACCAACATCCGCATGCTGAAACATGAGAGCACCAGATTCTAGAGCAAGAGGAGCGAAAAAGGCAAGGAGGTTCATCCACAGCATTCACACTCTTCCAGCCGCGGCCTTCAATTTAGCACCTTGAGAAGAGGAGTTGGCCAATATAAGCACTCTGGATACTTCACAAAGGACATTCAAGTGCAACAGAACCCACACACAGGCATGAGAATCATAGCAGCACCCAGAATGTTTGTAAGGAAATACCCTTCACTCACTAAAAATAATCCAAACTAATCATTCCTTCTTTCACTTTTTGGTTGCAATGTTCTCTCATTCTTATGTCCGTTTGCATGACTCAAACCATTGATGAGCAGGAGCTGATTCATCAGGCTCACCCTTGATAAGACTAACTGTCAGTGTGTGGCTGTTTTTAGGGGTCCCTTTCTTTATGTTTACCTGATTTCTTGGCAGTGTACACTGAAGTCTCTGCAGGAGACCATCTGAAAGGAAGAAAACTATCAACCATCTGGGAGACACAATGCTCCCTGTCCTTGCTGACTGGGTGTATGTGAATCAGGTGGTTGAGGTCAGGCTGCTTTAAATGCTCCCACATTGGGCTTGCTGTGGGACAATGCTTTGTTCGCACATGTATTTGGCTTCAGTATCAAACGGCGAACGGAGAACATTGCATTATTTATCCTAATTATTCACCACAGCAAATACAAGTGAACCACATCACATCTGTAGGTCACACTCCACACACATGTATGCAAAACAAACGCACACAGCCGTGCAAAGTCAAAGACATAGAGGGATGGGAACACGTACACACATGAAGATACACTGACACACACGCCAACAGACCTGGAACTAATGGTCACACATTCCTGGACACAAATTGATTCATCTGGAGTTGAAATCTTAACCAGAAAATATTCTTTGTTGTCTCAGCTCATTGGCAACACAAACTAATCCAGACCCTGTAAGGGCGTGATGGGTTTCCCTGGAGGTGAGTTCATTGATTTGCTGTGCATATCCCACCTTAAATTTTGTGAAAGGACTCGGATCAAAAAGATAAGCTTGAAGATGATAGGTTGTCTTTCTGTCAAAGTATTAGTGACACCAGATGTGTTCTCACAGTGATGCAGGAAAGAGCAGAAGAATCAGCCCGCACAGTGGCTTATAGCTCTTATCGTCCATCTTTATGGTTGTCATGTATATGTGAGCTCAATTAAACTATGGAACTATATAATATAAACAGCAACCCATAGAAATCTGCATTGAATAAGGGATGTATATTTCATGACATTAAGAATGAATAGAGATGGAGATGTTTCCATTCACATCTCAACTCCTACTCCTTTTGTTTCCTTTGAACTCACTTTATAACATTATTACCTTCTTGGCTCCAGGAGTGTAGCCTTTGGCTTCCATATCAACATTTGCCACCTGAATGACTGTGTTAAAAATCACACAAACATCTTAGCACAACATTTGAGTTCAGCTGTGTTACGTCCTGCCTCCGGTGCTTTTTTGATGCCTTCATGTTTCATCCCAGTGGAATGGATACCCAACCTGGGGCTGATGGACAGACCACTTTAAGAATGACTTAACAATGCCTGTAAGAAAATGAAATAGCATTGTCATTGGACAATGTTTAAAGAACAAAAAAGGAGTGTAAATGACCTGTACAGGAGAGGAAATGTGCAGTGCGTTTAATTTATTGTGTATATTTTAGAAGTGAGAACTGTACAAATGGACTAAAATGCCATAAAAGTAGTCATTTGTAAAACATAACTATATCAGTTTGTGAATATAATGGTGTGAAAAAGAAAGTACAGCCTATTTCAGTTCTGATCTTCCATATATCAAGAGAAAAGTAGTCTTCACCAGGCCTTAAAATGACATAATGACTTCACATTAACACCAGCCTTTAAGAAAAACTGTAGCATTATTCATTCAACAAAAATGGAGCCAAAAGTGCTGCACAGATAAAGGTCACATTCAATGACTGAACAACTTGCAGAGACCATTTTGCACCGTTGCAGCAAAGCAATATATTTTGTTTTTCTGAAATTCAGGCAAACGTTACAGTTCCTTTAGTTCGTTTAATTTTTACTGGGTAATTGTAATAACTTTGTGCTAGCTGACTGGTATTTATTTAATGTTTTATGGTCTCATTGCTGCACTGCAATGAGGCTGAGGTCTGGAATTTGACCAGACCACTGCAACACCTTTATTTTTAGTTTTTTTAGGCATTATTAAAATATAGTTGATTTTGGATCATTGTCCAGTGTGATCCAGACTCAGCCAACTCTTAGCTGTCAGACACATGGCCTCTTGTTTGACTTTAGAACACTTTGTGATGCAGAGGTGTTCATGGTGGACTTGATGATTGAGTCCAGGTATAAGCCCAAACAATCAGCCTTCCTGAACTGTGCTTGACAGCTGGTATGAGGTGTTGATATTGATAAGTCAGATTTTGAGATATAAGTTTTTTGCCTCAGTTTATTTCGACATTCATAAATCTGCTGGAGGTTCCACTGATTAGAAAATTGAATACGCGCCACTTGTTAATGATTTTTAATACTTTCCAATGTCAGATTACAGATTGTTTGCAAATGGCGTATTTCTTCTCCCAGATCTATGTTTACATTTTTCTCATTTTAAGACCTGGTAAGGAGAAGATATACATATATATATATATATATATATATATATATATATATATATATATATATATGTTATCAGATATGTAAAATATAAAAATGGTACACTTCAGTGTTTTTAATGTTTTGATATCTTAGTTTTTGTACAGCTGGATCATAGAATAAAAAAGCCATGTTAAGTTTCACCAAACTTACTTTAAAGTCTTCATAAAGTAGCTTATGACTTTTATTTTTATGAAAATGATGTCCTTACTGCTGGGAGTAACCTGATGGAATGATGATGCTCAGGGAAAAGACTACATTGTACCAAAATCAAAAGAAACTGAAAGGACAAGTTCACACATGTATTGATGCAAGCAGCCATTCTGATATAGATATAATCAGGTTAAAGTGAGATGAAAAATGTTCAGTTTTCTATTGACTTATATATAGGTGGATTACCAGACTTTGTTATCCAACATAGTCAGTACTGATCAACATTTTAAAATGGAAGTGACACAAAACTGCAATATGCAATATTATACTTTATGTAGTTTGTTTAGTTTGTTAATTTAGGACAGATCCTAATTACAAAAGCCAGAGAGTGAAACAGCGTGACGATATTAATAAAGTGATGTCACAGAGCAAATTTAGCTTTCATTAAATATGGCTCTTACAAAGATTACCTTTAGCCATAATGTGACTTTGAAAACAGGGCTGACAAATGTGCCAAACAATGATGTACAGTCCATTTTTAACACACATTTTTCCATATCCTATATTTATCCTGTATTGAAAGTGCAATATGACAGTTACATGATCTTCAGTGTGCATAATCTGATACTGTATGTTTGATATGCTATGACACGGTGTTATCTAGCAGTGCAATATGATGTCTTCCTTAAAAGTGTAGGCAATGACGTGAAGTGTTGGTATCAGCCTCTTTGAATTGCTTGAGCCCTGAGCTGTTACCCCTCAGGGAGATTCAAAGTGCATTGATGTTTTATGCAGCATGCCTTGTGTGTGTGTAAACAAAAGAGTACCGGATGACGAGAAAAAATATCCCAGTTGTACTGCTGTGAATAAGGATTTTATATTTTGATTATATTTATTGTGTTTGCATTTGGTTATTTGCATATTATAAACAATAAATTAATGCTTGTTGGATTCAAGGTTTGGCAACAAAAGCTTTAAGTCTCTACCAGATCTGAATTAAGTATATGATGAAGGTAATTAAAATAAACATTTCAGGAAGATGTAGAAATGACGTACACACTACAAGCAGCATTATGTAGAACACCTATTTAAAAGCAACAACACTACAGTATTTTTCTGGCCATTTTAGAGATTTAAATGTCAGGTCTTGTTTTGGTTTCCACTGATTGCTGAGACATTTCTTTTTCTCTTTTGCTGTCATGTCTTGACCTAAGTGACAGGCACAGCCAGCAGCATTACATTTGCAAATGCGTTTGTTCACTTAGATAGGGGAAATTGTTGTATCTGCTGAGTTGAAAACTGAATAAGTTGCACCGTCTTTTCAATGGATATTTTTTTTCACGTGCCGACTTGTCTGCAAATCATCTGAAATTTGAAGGAGTTCGATTCAAGCAGCACATGTGGGACACTGCAGGATAACGTGTGACGTTATGACATCACGTTTGATATGTGCAGACTGTACAATGATGACACATCTGTCTGCTGCCATCCTGAAGAGCAACATATTTCCCAAGAATCACACTAACGTAAAGTTTAATGAGCTGAAGAACTGGAAAATGATTGCTGTGTTTAATAGAGTGTATTATTATCTTCACATGTTTGAAGTGGTTATTCTCTATTTTGTGCTACAACTGCGACATCTCTCTGGATACAGCGAACTGGAGCTTCTGTCTTGACTTTTCTTAACTTAACTTTTCACTTTTATGTTTGTTTTTTATTTTACAAAAATGGTAAAAATCAATGTGTCTGTTCATTAGGGTTGGTTGAAAAGACATACGAGAGGTCACATGAGCAGACCAAATAGAGGATGATCCTCCTAAAGTTGATTTATTCAACTGTGGTAATAATGGTCTTCCAGCACTCTTTTTTTAATACAGGACTACCATATTATGTTGAAAATGCATCTTTGTTCAGACTCAACCAGCTTATTTTAACTGAGTTGGTTTTGCAGGGATGAGAATTAAGACTTTTTTCTGTGGTTGTGCTTGTTACAAGTAGTTTACAGTGTATCCATCATAGCCTCTTCATAACATAAATCACAGTGATAGCGTTCTGGCACATACTCAGCCTCATGGATGGATAAGATGAAAGGATGGGAGACTG